ACACACACATACACATTCACACATATATACACATTCACTTACACACATATATAAACACACACATATACATTCACACATATATATACACATTCACACACAAACATACATACATACATACATACATACCTACATACAAACATACATACATGCATGCATACATACATACATACATACATACATACCTACATGTTGAGAAGAAGGGTTATAATATATTGGGGTTTGGATCAAGACAAGGATTGAAGAAGATATGAAGGCTTTTTTTATAATGGACTTATTATATCTATGAATGTATATATATATGTGTGTGTGTGTAATGTTTGTGTATGAATGTATGTGTATATAGGTGTATGTGTATGTGAAAATGTATATATGTACGTGTGTAATGTTTGTGTATGAATGTATGTGTATATAGGTGTATGTGTATGTGAAAATGTATATATGTACGTACGTGTATAGATATTGTCATAACAAGTAGTCGAATCCGGAAAAACAGTCCTACAATGTTTTCCAAGAATACAAGCATCACAAAGTCGATCGACATGCTTAACGTCGGGGACAAGCAATTGGAGAACCCTTTGGTGTGGATGTCCTAAACGAGCATGCCACACATCCGGGGAAATAGATAGGTAGCTAGAGTAGAATTGATCAAGATAGTAAAGGCTTCCTTTCCGAAATCCTTTGGCGAAAACTCGATCCGTCTTAGTATCCTGAAACATAACAAAGTTAGTATCGAAAATAACACGACAATGAGTTTCATCAATTAATTTAGGGATGGAGAGAAGATTTGTCTGAAAATCTGGTACAAATAAGGCCGAGAGTTGCTTATCGAAGAGATGAAATGTACCATACCCTTTAATGGAGACATTCTTACCATTGGCAACCGAAACAAAACCATGACCGTTAAATATAGTGTGAAACAAATTTGCATCTTTAAACATATGTGTCGTTGCACCGGAATCAATAACTATATCAGAGTGAAAGGTGAAGTTACCGGTATCTTTGTGCAAGGACTGCAGAAGATGTTTTAGTCCTTTCATTTCTTCAGAAGTTAGACTGATGCCATTCTCGGTGGGTGAAGGGACATGGGCAGCCGTCATTGCTGTTCCTTTTCGACTGTTGTCCTTGAACTTTGGAGGTTTCAGATGTGGATTCAAAACCCAGCAACGCTCCTTTGAGTGTCCGTTTCTTCGGCAATGGTCACAAAAGAATTCTCTACGATCGCGACGTGGGAAGGGAGCAGAGTGTGATTTCTGTGTGTAGTGTGCAAGCTCATGTGGACCTGCGAAGAGATTGTGGCCCCCTTCCTCTCGTTTCACCATCATACAAACTTCCTCAAACGTAGGAAGTTTAATTTGGCGAAGGAGATGATAAACCAAGTGATTGAAAGAGGCATTAAGTGTAAGAAGAATGGAAAACACCTTATCTTCTTGTGCTCTCTCCATGACAATTTTCGGATCAGTTGAAGTAGGTCGTATTTCCTCGAGTTCAGCCCATAGTGCACAAAATTCCCCTTGAATTTTGTTGAACGGTTGATCGTGTTGCTGTAAATGAAAAAGCTGTTTCTTGAGTTCGAAAATACGACTTATGTTTGACAGATTACCGTAGACGCTTTGTAAGGATTCCCAAAGCGATTTCGCGGTATCATTGGAGATGAACGACTGCAGAATATGGGGCTCAAGGGAGCCTTGAAGAATGACCAAGGCTTGGCTATCAGCCTGTTTCCATTTTTTGTTGAAGTCTGCATCAGTCTGTTGTTGTCGAAGTGCTGTCTGTTCTGCAGTTTCGCCTTCAGCAGCCAGGACTTGTGGGGAGGGACCCTTCTGAGACACGACATGGTCCCAAAGACCCTTGCTGTTGAGGGCTGCAGTAGCAGCTTTTGTCCAATAAAAATAATTGTCGCCATTCAAGACGATTGGAATGAGTTTTTGCGGATTATCCATTGCAGATGTGAGGAGTTTCGAAGATTGGAATATGGAAAAGAAACAGCAATCGAACAAACACAAAAAAAAAAAAAATTGGAAGAGAGACAGAGATTTAAATGATCTTCTGCTCTGATACCATATAGAAAAGCAAAATCAAGGAGTCTGCAATGGTTTCAGTATTCTGGATTGAAGAGGAAGACAAGAACTACGATGGTGTTTTGGGGGTGAATCTGGTCTGATTTCACTTTATTCCCAATTACTCAAAAAATGTACAATTGCTCTCTTCATATATACAGGTTTAGAAGCAAAGAAGGAAAAGACTCAATATTCCTAAATCTACAGATAAGGAAATGTCTTGATATTATTCTTCATGCCAATTGATATGCAGCAACGAAACTATAGAGGCTGATTTGTCTCCTTTCCAAATCTGATCAGAGTAGCGCTTTAGGTGTCATGTCTTCTAACGTCAAGGTTGGTCTGTTTCCATGTTCCTATGCAACGACGTCGTCTCATGCTGGTGTCTTTGAGCCTTCTCTTCAGCAGTCTCCAAGTAATCTTCGGCACTCTCATCTTCATGGTCTTCAACATCATGCATGCATGAACACACGTATACGTATACACATATATAATATACTATATATGTGTGTATTGAAGGGATAATTCGAGGCACGTGGGGGAGCGAATAGGACGGAGGGATTATAAATGAATGTGGGGTTGGCAAGTGGACTGAAGGAAAATAAGAGCCATGGAGTTTAGTAGATGGCAAGTGTGTGTATAAATTGGCCGAGAGAGACATCTTTCATAACTAACCAAAGCAAGATACAAACATATCATCCACACATGCTATTCACTACCATTCATGAATGAATTCGTTGTACAGCACATGGCCGGATCTCGGTTAAGATATAGTGAAACATGCGACGTTAGGTTCAAGATATCCGATTACCCAAAAAAAATTAGTATCAGTTTTATCATGTATATCCCAGTACTTAAAAACAAATTAATATTATCAATTTTCCTCATCATATATAATCTTTTAAAATACCCCAGTTGATTAAATCTTGGACTGTTATTCACAATATAGTAATATACTCCGCTTTGAATGTTTTGGCGATCCATGAAAATGTAGTCCAAACATATAACATAAGAAGAAGGAAAAAGTACTGGGAACCAAATGTAATATCATAAACTTTTGAAACCTCGCCATTTATTTAAGAAGAATTTGACCGCGCACTTACTCGTGATTTGATTATCAAATCGTATATAAAAAGAGGAATTACCCGTACCCCCATAATTTTACATTTATTCCCAATCACCCCACTTCTTCTTAATTAAACCTCCGACACCCCGCCCCTTCGTTTTCTTCAATGTAACGAGGTGTAATCTCCGAGAAGAGGGAGAGAGAGAGAGATCAAATCCATCGATTTCGATGTGGTCCAATAATCAACGGTCCCAACCGCAATGATACGGTGACTCCAAACCTGTCGGAGCCATCTTCTTCTGTAGCTTTAGGTTCTTGTAGAACCTCTTGATGAACTCCTCCGCCGCCTTGTCCACCACGTCATCGTCTCCGACGTCTTCCCTCGCGGGAAACGGCGAGTCCGTCACCCTCACCGCCGGAAAAACCACCAGCGGAGAATCTCCGGCCACCGTCAATGACGATGACTCGTTATCGTTGTTGTGACCGTTATTGTCCCCCAGAAGCTTGAAAACCCTCTGGACGGCAGCCGCGGCGG